GACGAGCCTCCGCTTTCGCTTTTTTTATTGTTCGCAACGACCGTTATTTTCATTCGTACCGCCGCTGCTCGTGGTTTCAGCCGGGCGTAAATCTGATTTTCCGTTTGCGTTGCTCCTCGCTTCTCCGCTGCATGTGCCGGAAGTGCGACGAGTGCGGATGCGAATTCGGACTAGGAAAGTCGACAGTTGGGGGCTGATAGCGAACTTGCGCATTTCGCGAACTGCGCAACACGAGCGCATCCCGTAAGCGCGGTGGAGTGGAAGGCCGCGTCGGTCAAGCGATCGTAATTTTGGGAAAAGTCAGATTGACGAGGCTGCTTCGACGCTGGCTCGCGGCAAATAAAGTCACCGTGGCAGAACGACGGACGCGCGGGCGACGCTCAGACGACGACGAGCCTGTCCACCGAGAAAAAGCGCCTCCGTGACGAGCCTCGTATCCCACACCTCGTCGATGGAGCTAGCTGCCCTCGTGTTTTGCGGCCGAGCGAGGTTTTTTTCTTAAAAACGTTGCCGACCGCGAGCGCGATTTTGCTGCAGCCTCGCGCATTCAGCTTGACAAAGAAAGCGAAAACGCTCTCTCTGTCTCTCCTCTCGCTGAATGAAAGGACGCTATATCCCAACCTTAAGCGCGCTGCCTGAAAGCTTTCAACTTCTTTCCTGCTTCGTGGAACAATGGATGGATGTGTATCCCTGCAGCTCCGTGCGCGCCTGCGCTTGGCGAACACCTCCGCCGCGCGTGTGCGTGCGCGCGAACCGCGTAACGGGCCATCGCTATATACGCGATTCGCATTGCTTGCCTCGCAACTCGTTCTTGCTCTAAGCGCGACACTTCGGTCGTTCCGATAAGTGACCAGGGCCCAATTATGTCGGACGATGCGTCTTCTCTATTGCGGCTTGCCGAGCGAATCCGCAACCGCTAATACTATTTCAACGTTTCCCTCTATTTTTATTTTTATTGTCCCCGTAGACAATTTTATGGGTTTTGTACCGTTCTCTTCTAATTGCCCAGTCGCCTGTAGGCTCATAGTGGCCTTTTTCATTTAGAGCTGGTACCGACCAAGTTTTACCATATATTACCACCTACTCTTAATACGTTTGCGATTCCACAGATTCTAACGATCATTTGTTGCGAACAAAGTAAGCGTTTCAAACGCTGTAACTTTTTACGCAAAAATGATACGAGAATGCAAATCGGCAATCTTTATTCCGCTATTAATAACAAACGTAGTGTTTTTTCAACCACCTCGATAAAATAATCGGATTCGTAGACGTTGTTGATTTACCTAAAATTCCGACATAACCTCGATGCGCTCGGACAAATCCAACTACAACCTTTCCTCTAATAAGCCTACAAGTAACGGTCGCTTATTCGATAAGAAATCTATTGCAATTTGAAAATCGTAAAAATATCGGTTAGAACCGAAGATATCGTAATTTCACGAACAAAAACTTTTAATGACGATGAATATAACTGTTTACACAGCTGCTATTTCTTTCCAATAATGTTGCGCGGTTCGTTACGCAATGGGACAATTATTTGTTCAATTAGGAATCCATTCATTTAATAATGATAAAATGAGTATAAACCGAGATATGGCTAAATTACTAATTACCGCGGGAACCAAGTTTCCAATATTAGCGACAGTATAGGTTTAAGCCTGTATATCCTTTTTTCTACTAAAACTTAATATGTACTTAAAATATAGATTTCCGCAAAGTCAACAAGTATTGATTAGAAGCGAAGATACAGTAAATTAACCGAAAACTTTAGGGTAAGTGATACCACACCATAGCGCATAGGCAACACAGCTGCTTTCGGTTCCAGCACTAATTTTGCCGTATATTCACTTCCAATCACTTGCGTCACTTTGGCTAACATCTAATGGGTTTCTAATTAAACAAAGAATCGAATATTTACTCAATAAACCCATCGTATTATTAGGAAGAAAATGACAGCAGTTTTAACAATGAAATTCTTCGCCATCACGCTTTGCTTTTCTGTGAAATTGCGATATCCTTGATCGAAATTGATAACTTTGCGATTTCTTAAATCCAATAGATTTCTTGTAAAATAGCAAATCATTTGGTTGACAAATGGTTTCTGTAGCTTTATTAAGGAAACAGTTGTAGTTTGGCTTGTCCGAGCGCTTCGAGATTAGATCCATATCGCTTGCTAATTGAACATCCCGGATCTAATTATTCAACGTGAGCTTTCGAAAGAAGCTTTCGTTTTTTATTCGTAAAGAAATCAACATTACAGATTAGAATTCCTATAAGTTTTCGTTAAAAAGTCGTAGCGTTTCAAACATGGAATTCAGTTGCAACTAAACAGTCGACTGTCGCGTCAAACGAACAGACAGCCACTGTAGGCTCCACGCTGACTATAAATTTTGAGCAACGGGGCTTTATTTTCGAGGCGCAACCTGGCGTCACGTGAATGTTAAAGCGAGAAACGGGGCTGGGGCGTAGCGTGCAGCGGATAAAAGATAATTCTATGATTATTTTGGATGAGACGCTCGCAGGCTTGCTCCACGAATATAAATTCTGGCGAAAGAATGACATGGCCGCGATGCGACCCATAATCTACGCGCTCGTATACAATGATAAAAAGAAGTTGAACTGTAGCGAGAATCGTTTAGTGTCTAAGAGACGTAAACGAGGAACTAGGTTGAGTGTATAAAACCAGGCGATTAACGCGCAGATCGCACGGGATAGCCATACCACGCGTAGGCGAGCCAATGTATGTATATCGCGAACAGAGAGGGAGTTTGCGAGAGAGATTAATTGCTGTTATTTACTGTAACTACGGATTTATATCGTCTCTCGACCAATAATTAATCACTTGCATCGTCTATATACATTCGATATAAAATTAGGAAGAAGTACGGCGCACGAAGCACTGCTGCGCCAATTCCCGATAACGTCCCTTCTTTTTCGTACTTGCAACTATGCAGCGAGAGTGCAAACAGTTGCTTAAAGATCGTCGGGCAATCTCGATGAAACCAAAGTTCAGCAGCCGCTTTCGAGCGCCGAGAAACAGCCTCCTCCTCCTCCTCCTCCTTCTTAATCTTCTCTCTTTTTGACCCCCACCACACACACACACACACACATCGATGTGGCGTCGCTAGTCGAGGCAGTTTGCTCTACTCAAACAAGCCCTACATTCAGACTACTTGCCAAGATCTTTTTCAATCTGAAAACAACTTGCCCTCTATCTCTTGTAATTTTCAGTTTGACGATTTTTTTATCGCTTCGACGCGCGTTCAGACGGGCTCGCCTTGTTCTTGCAAAATAGCGCGAATTCGTGTATTTTTTTGGGGTGTAGCTCAGAGCGATCGACGCGAGCTAAACAAAGCAACCGCGTCATGCGGGCTTTCTCGAGAACGACGCGTCTCCTAGTCGGCGCTGATTGAGCAACGAATGACAGGATCGGCCAAACTTAATCGGACGCGGCTTTCAACGTACCAGTCAAGTTGGCAAGTCGGCTTACAAATATTTCGGGTCGAGCGACGACAAAGATACAAGTGGCACGCACACGAGCATTAAGACAGAGTTGTCGACGGGGCTGGCGGTACATTTGGGATCGCGTCGCTGCACGCGAGGCGGTATTTCCAAATCGTTCGCGCGCGCAAGAGAGAGAGAGAGAGAGAGAGAGAGAGAGAGAGAGAGAGAGAGAGCCGCGAGGCACGGCAGTCGAGTAAACGCGGCAGCGCTAGTGGCCGACAGCCGACCTCGCCGCAGCTGCCAAATAAGGATCTTTTCGCGTGGCTGGCCACATCTTCGTCGCCGAGCGTGGGCGAAAGTGAAAACTCGTGTTGTCTCGCGCGGTAAACACTCGCGCGCCGACGCCATCGACCGCGAGACTGAAAAAGAGTACGCGCGATTTTCGCTTGTTGATTTTACCACCGTTGCTTTATACGAGCTCTTTGTCGAGTCGTCGAATAATCGATTGTTCGGGCGTGAAACGGTAAAGCGTTTCGTATCGTGGCTGGTTTGTCAAATGCCGAATCATGAACGCACTCAGACTTGGAAAGCAAATTAAAGTGAATTTTGAAATAGACGAAGAGCAGTGTCGTTTAGTTGCAGGCATTGTGCTCGCTCGTAAAAATAAAACGATGCAGTTGAAGAACGTCGGGGCTACGATAATCAACGGTGCACTGGCAATTAGACGCGTATTAGAGGCATCAAGGTAACGGAATGAAATTGACACCGGATAAAAGAAAAACACTTCCGCTCGAGCAACTAAGGACTCGCAAACGAAATCGCCTATTAAACAGCAACAGTTATCGTCGCCAAAGTGACGTTAAGTTTTGCAGGCGCGCCGATTAGCCTAAAATTTCAGATTTCTAGTGGAAATTCTCTGAGTGACTGATAAGGGGGGTACGAATAAACGAGGAGCTTGGTAAAAGGGCGCAAAGGCAGCAATTAGAGTGTCATAGCAGCGTCCAGGACGAACAAAGGCGAGGTGGGCAACGAACAACGAGCCATAATTCAGACTGTCACACGGCTCGCAGTACAGCACGGGCAAGTTTCGGGCGAATGAAGATAGCGCCACTACCATAATACGCAGGCGTTCGCCGCTGCAGAGGGATCGCTGGGGCCGCTGCCTCGACGCAGCATTAAAGGCCATCGATTTCTAGGATATAGGCACTGGTGGTGTGCGTGCATTGTGCAGTCGTTGCGCCCGTCTGCTGTCCCCCCGTCCCGTCCCGTCCCGTCCCGTCCCGTCCCGTCTTCCTCGTTCGTCGTCCGCGAGGGCAATCGATTGGCCGCGCGGCCTCGCGGAAAACGCGCTTTCCCCGGCGGTATACGCCGCGCGCACAGCCGCTGGCAAAGGGGAGCGAGGGCAAGGCAGAGAAAGGAGCCAGCCTGCGCGGCCTACCGAAAGGCACGTGACAATCGTCGCTCCCCCTTTCTCCTGGCGGCCCGTTCGACCTGCCTCGTCCTTGGCTGCGTTGCGCGCTGCACGCCTCGCAAATCGCGTTGAGCAAGATTCTCACCTTGGGCTCGGCAGGCGGCGAGGGTCGAGGGCAGACGAGGAGCGCGCGCGCGCGCGCGCGATATCTGTCACTCGCGGCCTTGATAGCGAGCTGGCTGCTGCTGTAATCTGATGCGCCGGCAGCCCACGCACATGTCAAAACAGATCAGCCGTACCGCTTCTGGTAGTACGTCGTCGGCATTTCACTGCCGCTGTGCAGCCGTACGTATGTGTGCGTGCGTATACAGGTAGGATTTAAAAGGACCATTCGAGGGCAGCGTCCTCTCACGTCAGCTCGCACAATTAATTTCTTTTTTGTATACAGGCACCAAAATCAAACCGCACGAACCAAAACAACAACACAGCAATGACAAACGAACGCAGGAGGAAAGAAAGAAAAAGACGGAGCACTGGTTGTTCGGCTGCTCGCTGCGCTGGACGTTAGATCCTGCAGGCAGACGGCGCGAGGACGACGTCGAACCCTCGGCAGAGGGTCAATAAAACGCGCGACACATGCAGGCGGCCGCGACGCGCTGCTGCCAGCACGCACGCTGAGTTTCGCGCACTCCCCGACGACGCGATGTCACTGGTTGCTACCGCACAGTCCGCTTCCTCGGTGCCGCTGCTGCCAGTACGTTTCTACGTTTTGCACTGTAGGAGCCTGTGGCACACAACTGCTGCTACCGTGCACGTACGGCTCAAGAGCCGTGCGCGAAGTTGGCTTTACGCGATGGAAACGGACGAGTCAAAGAGTGCAGAGCGAGACGCAATGCGCGATGCACGCGTGAGGAGCGTCGGTCGGCGACTGCTGCTGGCCGGGAGCCGCCGCCGGGGCGCGCGCGAGTGGGGGGCAGCAGCGCAGCACCGAGGCAACGTTGGCGGCGGCGACGCGCCTCAGTGACGCTCAGTCAGCGGATCCGGCGGTGCCTCGCGCACACTCCTCCGCACGGCACTCTCTGGCAGTTAGCTGCACGTAGGGGGAGGACCGAGGGGCGCGTGCTGTCTGCGGACTTCGATTTTTTTCTCTCTTTCTTTGTCTCGATCTGTGTGCGTGTGTGCGCTCTGGCTGCTGCTGTTGCTGCTGCTGCTGCTGCTGCTGCTGCTGCTGCTGCTGCTGCTATTGCCGCCGCTGCTGCCGGCGAGTTTTCCTTCTCTCGAGCCGCCAAGCCGAGAGTATACACAGAGCCAGACAAGCTTTTGCCTACTTTGAGTACTTGCGCGTATGTGCGGATGCTGCACAATCGATGCGTATGTGTACAGCGCAGGTATACGCGCGAGAGTTGGTGTAAGGTGGAGGAGGTGGCCTTGACGCGGGTCCCCTTTGTTTACAGGCCGCCCCGGATAAATAGTGTTCGAGAAGCCGCTAACTCGCCTATATGGTTACGTCTGTTGGCTTTGTCATTCTATATTTGGATAATACTTTCCTGGTTAGCTGCTTATTTCCTTTTTTGCACTTGCCCCCAACTAACTGACTGTCAACATTTTGAGAGAAAACCTTGACGTACAACATGATTTTTCTTTTGACCTAAAGTACACGAGCGTGTTCTCGAAGGAAAAGCATTATTCACATGCTACATTAATTTATTCTTCGAACAGTACTCTGAATTTTTCGATCACAAAGAAAATAATACTTTTAGATATTTCACGAGTATTATTGGTATTCTTCAATTGTGCACATACTCGTATGAAGAACTAAAGGCGAACATATAAAGAAATAAAGAAAAAATGTGCAATTATAAAATGTGAGTTTGCTTATAACAGCAGTACAATACTGCTGAATATAACTAATCGAGATAAAACCTGATTTGCAAATAAGAATTTATTATAAAAATGTTAATCAATTCTAATATATGCAGTATTAAGTTTATTGTCCGTAGTATGTAAATTTCGTTTATGTATCGAGCCCATGTACAGGTAACTTGTTTACCCCTTTAGGCAGTTACAAATGTATATGGAACAATTCATAAACTTTAGTATTTTTTAGATCAATAAATTCAAATTGTTATGACATACTCGGAACAGTTTACGCTTACATTTACTAAAAAGTATATCTTAGCATTTTAGCGAAAAATCCAAAATACGTTAGGTGAATCTTGCTGAAAATAAAACTTTCCGTACTGCAAACTTTCGCCGGACGTATGAAATAAGTTGAACGATCGCGAGACGCCAGTCAACATTGCAGTGTAGCGTTGTTTCGAAAAATAAACCGATACTTCTTGATTTACAAAGGAATCATGTCGAAAAGAAAGTCAGATGGCGAGAGGGAGAGAGAGAAACACCGAGAATCGAAGCTAAAAGGCTCTCCGAAAGATCTCGTTTATTAAAAGTTGACCCTCGCTAGCTACAGCAGCGTCCGATATTCTCTCTAAAAGAATAATGCGACGAGCGCGCCCGCGCAAGAGAGAGAGAGACAGAAAGCTGTAAAATCTTGAGTTTTATTAGGAATCAATGATTTATAAAAGGCGCGCGTCGATCGCCAAAGGCTGTCGGAAATATAAATAGAGCTGCACGCGGGTGAAGACGATAAGAAACGTTACGAGCGCTAAAATAGGACGGAACAAGCGACGCGTCGCGGGCGACTTGCTATCGCGACAAGTCGTCGCGGTCCAAGCGAGCGAGACATTTTCGTATAACGCGGAATATGCATGCCCGCGTAGACGCGCACGTGGAGAATCGTAAAGGGACCTGAAAATATCCCGTTGGCCTACATTCCGTTTTTTTTTTCGGTGCTTACGTCTTACGCTCGAAATAACAAAGGAAGGCGCGCGCGCCAGCTTCCTCTCTGCTTTATTTTATTTGCCTAAAGTACACACTTGTCCCCATCAGCTGCGTGTTTCTTACTGCAGCGGAGTCGCGTTCCATTGTTCGACTAATCAATTGTCGATTGGATGGGCTGTTATAACTGACCCAAATAAATGTTCGATAAAGGCCGCGGATAAGTTTATTCTCGGACTATGCATCTTTCAGCCAGTGCCGAGCACCTCCTGCCGCAAACGTAATTAAATAATATTACGTGCAGTTGTACGCTAGCGTAAAACGTCAACTGTGTCAGCGTACACTTGGAATGCGAACAATCAATAGGATGCTTATTATATATGTGCTCCGCTTTCAAATACACGTTCCGTGAACTCGCTCGTCTCGTGTGAAAAGGTGGCAGGCTGAAAACGCGTCGATCGCCTCGTGCGGGAAGTGCAACATCTGCTTAGCTGTCTGCAGGCTTGCCCAAGAGATGCGCCTCCCACAACGCAGTGTGGTATAGAATCGAGAGCACACATGTCAGCGCGCGGTGTCGGATTGTCTCCAGATTGGCAAGTTCCTGTTTCTTCTTTCTGCGTCTGCTGCGTCTGCTGCGCCTGCACGAGGACGCGCTCGATGCATCTTGGCGCTGGCCGCCTCCATTGCCATGGGAAAACCTCGAGTGCACTGCTACTTTGCCGTGCGCGCTTCTCTGCCCAATAGGGCGAGAGCAAAAAGCGCCGACACGGGCCTTCGAATCGCGGCTGCGTATTCTTTTCACGCGCAGTGATCTTGGATGCTGGTAATCAGGATCGCAAGACGCCAGACCGAGGCCGTAAGTGGAAATGGCGATTTCGGTTACCAGCCCGGGCAGGAGGACACGTTGATCTATAATGGCCTCTTCGTCCGCGTGTTCCCTTTATCTCCACAGCAATATCGGAAAGATCTCGGCACTTTTGCGCCGCGCGAGCTGTCTATAGCCGACACTGACGCGGCCGGACAGCGCGCGAGGGGCCTCTCGGCTCGCGCGCCGCCAGCGGCGCTCAAAAAGAGCGTACCGACGCAAAAAGAGCGCGGAGGTCGAGCCTGCGCGCGGGCTGGCAAGCGACGAAAACGCCAGGCAAAAGTAGGCGTGACGAACGCGCCTGCAAGCGAATGTGAAAACGACGCGGAACCGCGCGGCCGAACGTCAAACGGAAAAGCTCGCCCGCGAGCGCGGCGCGTACGTCGTCTGGACCACCGGCATTGCATATCCGTCGTCGCGAGCGCGCATCGCGAAGCTGCGCGATCGCCGCCGCGAGGTTTAGCAATGCGGCCGGCGCGCCACGTTTTTACGATTCACAAAGAGAGCCAAAAAAAAAAAAATTGCGTCCCTCGACAATTTGGCGGCTGTGCGCATACGGGGCTACGCGATCGCTTTTCGGACCATTCTCGCGCGTTGTCGGTCGCTCCGCCTTCCCGTATTATACGCGCTTTTACGCGATTTCAGATTGACGCCGCGCATTTTTATATCCGTATCGATTGGCGCCGAGGGGGTGCATTACGTGAGTTTGCGTTTGATTGCAAACGGAATACACTCGGCAGTCGCATTTTTCGTGATCCCGCGCACATAGCAGTAAGTAAAAGTGACACGGACTATGCCATCGACGAATCGGCAGCGTATACTTTAAGCTGCCTCGGAGCAAACGCAATTTTCCAAATTGAATGGTCGGCTATTATGCAATGAAGTCCCACGTAATGAAGTCAGTCGAAAGGAATCTCGATAGGGAAAGCACAGAAGAGGCCGACAGCGGTTTGCACGCGCGTGCAATCTAATCATTACAGCGTGAAATTGGACGGTGTTCAAGGCTGCAAACAGGCCTACATGATTATAGGCATGTATAGCGGCGCGGACGTGCGGGAGAGCGCTGGCCGAGAGCGGGGAGCCCTAGGCGACGCGGCGACACGTATCATCGGTCGCGTCAAGCCGACACGCGAGCCAAAGTGGACTCTTTATCTGTTGTCGCGTCTAAACATCCGCGCCGTACATCCCGGTGCCCGAGCTGTAGCCTCCGTCGGGGCGCTGCGCGCGTCGAGGGCAGGAGCGCGGCGAAGGCAAGGGGCCGGGGCTCGACTGCCGAAAAACAATGTCCGGCCATAAATACAACACCAGTCGCAGGCCTCGAGGCAAGGGCTTTTCCGCGAGGCAACGAATTCGCTCTTGGCCGCAGATAACGAAGGTCCCGCCGTCCGAGTACCTAATCGCATTATACGCGTGTGACACTGCTGGAGGCTGCCGCTGCTATCGCTCAGCCGCTATTTACTCGCAGGCCATTACACATAACGCGTTCTCTCGCAGCTTTTACGTATATACGTAACGCGGCGGCGACGGCAGTCTGGGGTGAATCGATACGGATTTGGAATCTGGAAGAGCGGGGGGCCAAGGTGACGTGGCCGCTGCTGCTCTGCACTGTTATGCGCGTGAACCGATGATCGCGCCGGGTTACTAACGCTAAGATTGATTTATATATGTCGTTGCCCGTTGTTAGGCGGAGGGAGCGGCACTGGCACGGACCAAGAGGATTTGCGCGGGGGGCGACCGGCTGCGAAATGTCGCTACCTTCGTTTCGATCGAGTTAGGCGCGCTCTCGATACGCGCAACGAGCGGCTGCGTGCGATGCACTCGCCTACTCGCGCGCAGTCGCTTGCGGTGGCATTCGGTCGTGTTCGGTTGCCATGTCGCCGCGTCGAAGCGCGAACGTCGCCAGCCCCGAGCTTTCGTTATTGATGGCTTTTTGAAATGTATCAAATTCCAATGAGACTCATCGAAAAGGCATTACCAATCGCCGACCAGTTTGAAAATCCATCGCTGGACATAAGCAGAGTTTCGAGTGCCGCATGACGAGGCGCCCACGCTGAGATTGAGAGACAAAGAAAGTTAGCGCGACGGGGGGGGGGGGGGGGGGGGAGCATCGGCGGCATCGATCTCGCAGGCGCCACGTGTACAATCATTAGTGGAGCAAGAAAAATGGAGCCCGGCGAAGAATGCAGGCGATGGGGTGCGGTGACGCTCGTGG